AACCCCTCTCTCTCTCAGTGCAGTGTTCATGTACTGGAGTGTCCAGTCAGTGTGTCTGTATTAACCCCCCTCTCTCTCTCACCTTTAGGCACAAGAGGATGATGGGAATGACTGCCAATGAGCGGGAGCTGTCAGACGTTGAGGCCTTCCCTACACAGGATCGTATCGCACTGGAGATTAAGGAGCGGAATGTGGCCGAGCAGCTGCTGGACAAACTGGCCGATATTCAGTGAGTCAGGGGACGCCACGGACAACCCCCCACACACACTTGCACAACCTCAGGACCCCAGTCAGACACTGCTAAACACCGTTCACATTGTTTGTTTGCCTTCATGTTCACATTGTTTGTTTGCCTTCATGTTCAGGACCTGCAGGCACGACAAAGTCAGCTTTCACCTGTGAGTGTGGTCCACAGAATTGTCTGGAGGTTTTCAGGCAGTTTGGCACATATTTAAGTTGGGGTCCTTTTGTAGGACCCCCATGATATCAGTTGGAGATACTCAGGCAGTGAAGAGGCCATCCTCAACTTTCTGGAAAGCCACACAATCCTGGTGGGTGGGCTTTATTGGTTAGGTGTGTTCAGGCGCTGGCAAGGACAGCTTGCAGTTCTCAGGACCCCAGAGCTTGTGAGGGGAGGAGGAGGAGGAGCTGGTGTCTTGTTTCATCATTCATCACTGTCCTGTTGAAAGACTTCAGAGTGAAAACAGGGTAACAGATGGAGTGATGTCCCAGGAAAAGGAGCACACTGTTGCACTCCTGACACTGTCTCACACTCTCTTATACACTTGCACCTGCACCCTCACTCACACATAGACAGGCACACACACTCTCACACGCACTGTTGCACACCTAACACTGTCACACACTTGCACACACACCCACGCCCACTCTCACACGCTACAGTGGTGTGGTTGGACCTCCACCATGCAGGGCCTGATGCAGATGCTCCGGCAAGTAGTGGTGCTGGGAAGGTGGGGGGTTTTAGATGAGTGATAGTGAACACAAGCACAGTCTTCTCTCTCTCTCTCTCACACACACGTACAGTCCTCTCTCCCTCTCTCAGTTCAATTCAATTCAATTCAATTCAAGGTGCTTTATTAGCATGACCGATGGGTACAATCAGTGTTGCCAAAGCAAATAAAAATAATAAAATTAACATGGAACAAGACAAAAAATAGAAGTAAAATAAAATCTACAGACATGTTACAGACATTTACAACAAAGACATATTATAAAATATTGACATATACTGTAGGCGAATGGAGCATTATTGGGAGACTCTTTCCCTCTCTCTCTCTCACACACACACACAGTCCTCTCTCTCTTACACGCACACATGCACAATGCTCTCTCTCTCACACACACATGCATGCACTCACGCACAGTGCTCTCTCACACACACACACACATGCACAGTCCTCTCGTGTACACAACCGCCTCTTGCACATGCGCACACAACCCTTTCTCTCGCACACGCACACAGTCCTCTCTTTTCTCACACACATGCACACAATCACAGTTGCCCTTCTTTCACGCAATCCCCAGCCCCCCCCACACACACACACTGTGTTGTCCCATCCCTCTTCCTGTGCCATGATGTCATCTGGAACGGGGGGGTGTGAGGCGGAGGCTCCTCATTGGTCAGTCTTGGGCTTTCCCCCTCCGGCTCCCTCCACACGCGCGCAGACACACACAGAGACACGCACACTCTTCCTCTTTCCCACATCTTGCTCTGTAGTTGCATCAGCCTCTCCCGACTCATAAATAGCTCCAGCTCCTCGGCCAGCGCCCTCCGTTTCCCAGCCAGACTGAACACTGCTCCCGCGCCTGCAGGCTCAGACCTCTGCTCCGCTCCAGAGCTTCTCCCTGGGTCTCTCGTTCCTCTGCACTGGAATATGCTCAGATTGCTCCACTGTGATACTGAGAACCGCAGTCCAGTTTACCACACAGAAAAGCTGAAACTGCCTGATTACTGCAGGCAAGTACAGGCAGGCGGACAGCACGGTCACCACCGGCGGAGACCATGTTGCTCGGGAGGTGAGTCAGCTGAGCTCGTTAATTAATTAGCCCTTGGTGCTCTAAACAGCCTGTGCACTGTAAATTATCAGGTAGGCTTATACACTGCACGCTCTTTATTAGTGATTAGTCTTGTGTGCATTTTGCACTAATTTGTGCAGTTATTCTCCAGAAACTGATGATTGTTAATGTGCAGATACAGATGAGCTGGACTGAGTGTCTCTACAGTGACTCTACAGCTCTGATGATGATGAAGGAGTGTTAGTGTGAAGATACAGAGGAGCTGGAC